ATCATATGCGTGAGTCGACAGTGACTGGACTCCTTTCGCCAAATCCGCACCAGCTGCGATGATTTGTGTGTATATAGATGTGTTTGAGTTCGCTGTCGCGGAACTCCTTTCGCGGCACGCGCACCACCTGCAATGATGTGTGTGTATAGATGCGTTCGAGACGTCAGTGATGGAACTCCTTTCGCGGCACCCGCACGAGCTGCGATGATGTGTGTGTGTATATGTGTGTGAGTCGTCAGTGATGGAACTCCTTTCGCGGCACCCGCACCAGCTGCGATGATGTGTGTGTGTATGGATGTGTGTGTGTGTATATGTGTGTGTGTGTATATGTGTGTGAGTCGTCAGTGATGGAACTCCTTTCGCGGCACCCGCACCAGCTGCGATGATGTGTGTGTGTATGGATGTGTATGTGTATGGATGTGTGTGAGTCGTTAGTGATGGAACTCCTTTCGCGGCACCTGGACCAGCCGCGAGGAGGTGTGTGTGTATGTATGTATGTAGGCCCCAAGCCCCCTTTACTCCCTTCCCCGTACCCACCCCTGCTCGCGTGATGTGTGTGTGTAGTTATGTAGGTTGCCCGGCCACCCACAGCCTCCTTACTCCTTTCGCCACACCCACATCTGCTCTCGTGATGTGTGTGTCTAGGTATTTTGGTATCCCCCGCCCCCTTTACTCCCTTCTCCGCACCCACACCTGCTCGGGTGATGTGTGCGTAGGTATGTAGATGCCCCTCCCCCCCCCCCCTCATCGCGTCCTTGTTCCTTTGGTCGCACCTAGACCTGCTAGTGTGATGTGTGTGTCTACAGGTATGTCAGTCATCTGCCGCTCGAACTCCTTTGTGCGGAAGTAGTTGAATAGTTCAAGCAAATTTTGAATAAGTGAATTGAAGTTTCAAGTGTGACATGTATGTTCCTTCTAGGCCATTAGTCTCGATTGCGGATGTTGTTGAAATAGTTTAGTGTGTAAAATAATTTCGGGTAGTTACGTCAATGGTATCATTTTTGTGTTGTTCAATCAATGACCATTTATTCGCATTATGTGAAAAGATTGAAAGATTTGCATTATTTAATGTGTAAGATATTAATGCATGGTTAAGAATAGAATCGTAATTGATATTATTATTTATTAGCATATTATCATGTTGTTTATTTTGTCTATTGAAAGGAAAATGGAATGTTCTTAGTAAAGGATTATCTTTTCCAAATTTCGTTGCTCTGTGTAATGTGAATTATTGATTATTATTATAAACATGAAGATCCAGTATCGATTTGCAAAAGTCATTCGAATCTATTGAACATAAATTCTGATGAATTAGGTGAATGACGGCAAAATAAAGATACTTTTGAATGGATGCTTTTGAAAGTCATTGCAAGTTATATTAGTTGCCGGTATTGTGGAATTACAGAAGTTTGTTGTAGGTAAAATTGTTAGTAATGTGAAAATTTATGAAACTGCACAAAAGAAAGCTAGTCAATTGAAAAGCTCCTATGAGAAAGTATTTCTCGTCGTTGTAAATATTATATAAATCGATGGTCCAATCACCGCTGTTTCGAATGGTGAAAACCGCAGGTTAATATCTTATTCCTATCAAAAGTTATTCGCAATACAAGAGTGTCGGGTGACTTATGAAACACCCTATATCTCCTATACCTCCTATACCTCCTATATCTCCTATACCTCCTATATCTCCTATACCTCCTATACCTCCTATACCTCCTATACCTCCTATACCTCCAATATCTCCTATACCT